TCTCTTTTAGTTTTTTAAAAAATCGACTGTATAAATTAAAATGGCCCACCCTGTATATGAACTTGTTATCAAACCACATACCATTACGCGTGCAAAACGATGCAGTTCCATAATACGACTGTGTGGATGGATCAAATTGTTGGCCTGGAGTAATAGACATTTCATCTAATACAAGTGAACAGTCTTTTTCTCTAACGTCTTTAAATTGAGCAACTTTATCTTTTAGTAATTTAAAAATGTCGTCACAAATTCCCTCCTGAAATTGAATATTTTCTACTTTCCTTCGAAGTGTACGTTCGCATGGCAGAGGCAGGTTTTCTTTCAGTAATTCCTGATAGCCAGTAGAACCACAGGAAAATTTCAATCGAAGTGCCTTTTTTATGGTATCATTAGACCACATATGGCCGCGAGAGGATCGACGCATGAGAGCTTCTATTTGATCATCATTAAAAATTTGTTTCAGTGCTAATTTTAATCTCACATAATTTTGGTCCTTTGAATTGTTTTTTATTCGTGTCAACCTCTTAATATGCTTTTTTAACATATTTTTAGATCGGTTACTTTTCAAGATAATTTTTTGGGCCAAATCAAGTTTTCTGTTGACTTCTTCCAGCTGTTTCTTTAATCGTTCAACCTCATTCAGTTCTTCGTTGCATGTTTCTTTTGAATGAGTAGGACTAGAGGGATCTACAAGATAATATAAGAAATATAAGTAATTATAAATAATATAATGAATAATCCGTATGGTCGAAACATTGGAATCTAATAAATAAAACCATCTGCCAGCCTAACGTCGTTTAACAATTCTTTCTACTATATGTATACATATATATATATATGTATATTTTCTACTATATACGGAGAAAGTACAATTGTGGTTTTGCAACATTACTTGATGTTAATGCAATAATATTAGGAACATCTACTCCAAGACAGTCCTCTTGCTGCTTATTTGTATGAACATGATTTAATGTTTGCAATGCATCATACCTTTCTGAAGATTCAATAGTTTTATCCTAAAAAATAGTTATTTTAATGAAAAGGTTCTAATTTAAAGTTCGCCGAGTTTTTAACAAAAATGCACAAAGAAAGGAAATTCACGTTTGTGTTAATAGATGTGCTACTTTCCAATTCAGCAGGGAAAATTGTGGGCACAGCATTGCCTTTTAATTTCTTCTTTCCGTCAACGCGTATTTTCTCCCACATTTCGTTCGCAAAATGGGTCTATAAAAATTTTTTATGTAATTTTAGTATTCTTATAGTGTCGATCGCGGTGCAGTGAGTGTGCGTTGGTCCGAACCACAGATTTGGGGTTCAAATCCGGCCTGAGACCGTCGGTTTAGGCCTCTCATATATTATTTACCTCACATACAAATAAATCTGTCGAATTCCAATTTTGTTGATTATATTTATCTATGTTGGCAATCCAAATATCTTTTCTTTCTGGGTTGCGATACGAGCCATATAAATCTTTGTTCCCTTCTTTGTACGTTTCGAACATCGAGGTACACTACAAGCTGGCATTTTCATATCTATAAAAATAATTATGTTGAATGTTATGTTTTATTCTATTTTTCATATTTATATTGTACATTTTATATACAATTTTTAAAATACACATTTTTTTATTACTGTTCATTATGTTGTACAACAATAAGGTTAGAAAACATTCACAACATTGTAACTGTTTATTACAGATATATCGAAAACAATATTCTTATAGGTTTTTAATCAAAGTGCGAAATAGTGTAAAGACAAATTATTACTCGTTACAGATTGTGTGTAAATGAAAAAAATCATATTACTTACACGACACAGCAGCACAAGATTCAATTAAATCGCGGCACTGACGGCCATTTTGTGGACACTTCCGCCAGTTGTCCAGTCTCTATCTTCTAGGGTCTCTAAGGACGAGGAATGTCGGCAGTGCTTTCGACAATTTCGCAGCTTGTGCACGACCCTTTTAGTGTCGATGGAGGGTATTGTCGGCGACAGTGCCAAAAGTATACAAAGTATTGTCGACCGCGACACGAACGTTGCGCGGAAGTACGGATACCCGGGAGTTCTTCGATGGAATGCGATCAGCACCGCGGAGATATTCGAGCCTGTGCTCGCTTACCGGGAAAAGCGCGTGGACACCGACAAGAGCATGCTCGAGCGTTTGCTCGACACTGGCGTCTTGCTGGAACTAATGAATTTGCTTGTACACATGAATAGAGATGAATTTTACTCCACGCACGTGTCGGTCAAGTGTGTGTGAAGCTGGCATATCATTTCCTGGAAAATCACTAATTTTTTAGAGTTCTGACTTCCTTTCTAATAGTTCTAGAGTTCCTGATACATTAAACACATAGTTCTGGCTTTTAAGACCAAAAAATCGCAAAGTGCAAACTGATTTGCTAACTTCACGCTGCAAATCACTTTGTCCCCGGATGATTTCCTAATTATTTCTGCTAGGATTTTTATCGCATGACAGTTCTACAATAGTTCTAGAAAGAGTTCTATGCAGTAGAACCGATAAATAATTTTAAAAAAATTAATACAGCCCGAGAACTGTCTTTAAGGCAGATATGTATGATTTGTTGTCCGAAATGACGGAGTTCTGGCTTTATACAAATAGTTCTCTTATAGTTCCGAACATATTTAAGCCTTTTCTACAGAGTTCTATGCAGTAGAACCGATAAATAATTTTTAAAAAATTAATACTGCCGAGAACTGTCATTAAGGCAGATAGGTATGATTTGCTGTCCGAAATGACGGAAGTTCTGGCTTTATACAAATAGTTTTCTTATAGTTCCGAGCATATTTAAGCCTTTTCTACAGAGTTCTATGCAGTAGAACCGATAAATAATTTTTAAAAAATTAATACTGCCCGAGAACTGTCATTAAGGCAGATAGGTATGATTTGCT